GGGTTGTGCGCCGCAGCGAGTACTATTAACTCATGATAGGATCGGGCTGCACGCCGCAGCAGGTATTATTGATTCATGACGGGATCGGGTTGCATGCTACATCAGGTTTTATTAGCGCTTGGACAGGATTGCCCCTCCGGAGTCTGACATACCAGCAGTGAGCGTAGGTACCGTACAATGCTGAGTGACTGAGTGTGATGAGCGAGAATTGATACCGTCAGATTGAGTACTCTGAGAGTGTGAGTACGTGAGGTTTTTATTGTGTTGCATCACATGTGACATGCACATTGACATGTAGATATAGAGATGTAACATTCCTCATATCAGTCATACTTGGCATATTTTATCTGTATTGAGCTTAACTGTTAAACCTGGAAGCATGTCTACATTCCTGTATTGTGTACCAATAGATTATGAGTTTCAGTACTTCTGAGCACATCGGTTGCTAGCTTTGGAGCTTTATCTATCGAAGACTTTTGAGGTAGCTGCCTTGGCATCCGCAGACCTTGACTCTCCTTCTTTTTAGTTATTTGTACTGTTCAATTTTTCTAGACAGTATTTAGCAGTCAGACTATGTTGTCAGTTAGATTCTCATGTACTCAGTGACACCCAGATTTTGGGAAATATTGTATCGAGTCGCGGTATTTTCATATCAATATTTACGAGATTTTTACTCTTGAGCTTATTTTACTATGTTTCCAGATTTAAAGATGCGTGGTTTATGGTGATTGTCGGCTTGCTTATGGTAGGCTATAATCCCGTATTTTAGTCGCTTATTGTACTCTAATTCACTGCACTTTACTTATGTTGAGCTTTAATTAGTCGTGTTTTGCACTTATTGTGTGTTTTATGCCGTGTAGGAGTGATTCTGAGTTATTTAGATGTTACGGAGCAAATTCGAGTTATTTGGCGCTTTGTAGTCTAAGTAGAAGCCTAAGGGATTAAACCGGGATCACGTTCGGGAGTCGAGTACCAAGTCCGGATATCAAAAATTGAAAAAAAAATGAATCAATCTAAGAAGACTACACTGACGCGCCGCATGGGGCGACGTGGCTGTGTAATATATGCCCAGAAAGTGATTTTCAATTCGTACTGGAGTTATCCACAAGCGCGGTGCATTCCGCGGCATGACATGCGGCGCGGTAGTACAAAAATATTAGAGTATCTTCCCATTTTCGCTAAAAAGGGTATTTTCGTCCGGGAATTATTGGGGGGTGTCTTAAATACATGGAAAAATACCATTTTCGCGACTTTTGACACAATTTCAACCTAAGGAGGCCAAGTAGGCTAAGGAGGAGTTGGAAGAACACAAGCACAAGGATTTCATCATTCCTTCCTCACTCAAGATCCGGGTTTGGATTGAATTTATGTTTTCCTATGCTTTAGTTACATTTGTGAAGAACTTCTCCATGTCTATGGAGTAGATCCTTTTGGGTTTTGATGAATTTGGTGTATTCATGATTGTTTGTGGATTGTAGCTCTATTTTTATATATTTGAATCGTTTTTGGAAGATTTAATTGTTGCATCTATATTCACTTGTTCTTGTAATCGAAAGAGGCATAACTTGTGATATCTTTGCATTATATTGTTGGTTGAGTTCATAGATTCTTCTAAGTAATCGAAAGAGGCTAGTTGAATCATTAATTAAACCTAGTTAGGAGAATAATCGAAAGAGGTTTTCCTAAAGACCGATCCATTACGCATTCTTACATATCTTCACAGAGCTTAAATTGGTTCATATTGAGGGTTGAGACTTAATCGAAGAGAGGAGTTTCTACTAAAAAATTATACTGATAATTAAGTGAATTCGAGAGACTAACTTGAACATTAGAAGTGAATTATCTATAGTTAAATCCCAGACAATTATCTTGCACCTATCCTATCAAAACCTCATTTCTCCTATTGTTATCTTCCTTTGCTTAGGCCTTGCTTCGATTGTCATTAGTTAATAGGTGTAGATTTTAGATTCTTAGTTATATTTTATTGTTAATCATATAAATCTCAACTGTTTATCCTCCTGGATAGCAATCAAGCTAGAAACTACGAGAATACTATTTAAATTCAATCCCTGTTGACACGATATTATACTATACTATCTTTGACTAGCGAGCACAATTTAAGTGTGTGTTTTGCGCTCGTCACTTGCCTAGTATTGCGATAGGCACCATCATGACATGTGAGATTTGGGTCGTGACAAGTTGGTATCAGAGCCTAGGTTAAATAGGTCTCATGAGTCAAGAGCGGGTTTAGTAGTGTCTTGCAGATCGGTACGGAAACGTCTGTACTTATCTTCGAGAGGCTGCCGAACCATTAGGAAAACTTCACTTTCTTGTATTCTTGTCGTGCTAATTTGTTGATTCCGGAAACAAAACTTCTGTTATTCTATTCTCTCACAGATGGTGGGACACGTGGGTCTCACCGACCGGTTGCAGTTACTAAGGCCCAGGTGGGTCCCGTTATGGGTGATGAGGAGCAGACGAGACTAGAGAGGTTCGGGAGGCTCAAGCCTCCATCATTCAGTGGGGCTGAGTCATCTCGTGCTCCATCAGTTCAGGGTTCATCTGTGCCAGACCCCTCTAGTAGTTATTCTGGTTCTCGGGGTCCGCTTCAGTACTTTCCACCATTGTCAGAGTGTGGTTTCTTTGAGTGTGGAGATTTTGTTCATGTGAAGAGGCATTGTCCTCGCCTTTTGGGAGGTCCAGTTCAGCAGAGTAGTCAGGTTGCGACTTCCACACCAGTTACTTCACCACCCGCTCAGCCAGCTTGGGATGGGGCTCAGGCAGCTAGAGGTGTGCCCTAGAGAGGGAGGCCGATCAGGTGGAGGTCAGGTTCGATTCTATGTTATTCTTACCAGGCCAGAGGTCGTTGCTTTAGACACAGTGATCACATGTATTGTCTCAGTATGCCACAGGGATGCTTCTATATTATTTGAACTTGGTTCCAGTTATTCGTATGTATCATCATATATTTATCGTTATTTGGATATGTCCCGTAAGTCCTTAGTTTCACCTGTTCATGTATCTACGTCGGTGGGCGATACAATTGTTGTGGACTGTGTGTATCGATCGTGTGAGGTGACCATTGGGGGATTGGAGAATACAGTTGATCTCTTATTGCTTAGTATGGTTCATTTCAACGTGATTTTGGGTATGGATTGGTTGCCCCCATTTCATGCTATTCTGGATTGTCACGCTAAGACCGTGACGTTGGCGGTGTAGGGATTGCCGAGGATCGAGTGGTGACGTTCTATAGATTATGTTCCCAGTATGGTGATTTCTTATCTGAAGGCCCAATGGATGGTTGGGAAGGGGTGTCTGTCATATTTGGCCTTTGTGAGGGACGTTGGTGCTGATACTCCTACTATTGATTCTGTCCCGATGGTGCGAGACTTTTCCGATGTGTTTCCTGTAGACCTGTCGGGCATGCCACCCAACATGGATATTGATTTTGGTATTGACTTGGTGTCGGACACTCAACCCATTTTTATTCCTCCGTATCGTATGGCACCAACAGAGTTGAAGGAATTGAAAGAGCAGCTTCAGGAGCTTCTTGATAAGGGGTTTATTAGGCCTAGTGTGTCGCCTTAGGGTGCACCGGTTTTGTTTGTGAAGAAGAGGGATGGTACTATGCGGATGTGCATCGACTATAGGCAGTTGAACAAAGTTACAATTAAGAACAAGTATCCTTTGCCGTGCATTGATAATTTATTTGACCAGCTTTAGAGAGCTAGAGTATTCTCTAAGATTGATTTGAGGTCTGGGTATCACCAGTTGAAGATTCGGGACTCGGATATTCTGAAGACGGCATTCAGGACCCGCTATGGTCATTATGAGTTCCTTGTGATATCTTTTGGGCTAACCAACGCCCCAGCAGCATTCATGCATCTGATGAACAATGTATTCCAGCCATATCTTGATTCGTTTGTCATAGTATTTATTGATGATATCCTGGTGTACTCATGTAGCCAGGAGGAGCATGCACATCATTTGAGGATTGTACTACAGAGGTTGAGGGAGGAGAAGCTTTATGCCAAGTTCTCCAAGTATGAGTTTTGGCTCAATTCGGTGGCATTCTTGGGGCACGTGGTGTCCAGCGAGGGGATTAAGGTGGAATTAAAGAAGATAAAGGCGGTTCAGAGTTGGCCCAGACCATTTTCAGCTACTGAGATTCGGAGCTTTCTCGGCTTGGCCGGATATTATCGTCGCTTCATAGAGGGTTTCTCGTCTATTGCAGCGCCTTTGACCAGGTTGACCCATAAGGGTGCTCCATTCTGGTGGTCGGATGAGTGTGAGGAGAGCTTTCAGAAGGTCAAGACTGCCTTGACCACATCTCCAGTTCTAGTTTTACCTTCAGCGTCGAGTTCTTATATAGTGTATTGTAATTCTTCTCGGATTGGTATTGGATGTGTCTTGAGTTTATTATTTTCATGGCCCGGTGAAAGAGGTCAAGATCTTACTAAAATAAACTGCATTTTTCTTTTAATAATTGTTGTGCTTGGGCAAACTTTCATGCTACTCAACTATTCCATCAGCACGACTTATGGTTTGGACGAATGGAACGAAATCACCGAGCGGCAATTTTGGCCCTTTTCCCTAATTTTGTTAGTCAGTCAAAAACTGCACCTTGCATTAGCTATTTGTCGACATGTTTGGACTAGAACTTTTTCATATAGAGGCAACATGCATGTGAATTCTGTGTTATGTCAAAATCTGTAAAATAAAAATATGAAAATGGCTAGAAGAGTTTCTCCAATATTCAATCTGTGCAGTAATATTCACAAATAATAATTTTAAAAAAAACAGCTAAGTAAAACCATAAATGTTCATTGGTGTTAGCAGCCTATATAGCTCGAGCATCGCCCCAAGAATGAATGACAAGAGATCCCTTCAAAGAATCCTCCTTCCTCCACCAACTCTTGTATCAAGACTTATTACTAGTACAAGAAACTTCTTGCTGGTATCAGATCATCCTCTAAATAATTGTTTAGAGCAGTTTAGCAGGAAAGCGTTGATCAAACTAAAGCAAGAAGAGGCTTAGTTTTGATAATATCTTTTTACTAGTAATATCCATTCACAAAATCCCAAATAAAAAGACAGAAGGAAGGGATCGCCACCTAAAACCGCAAGCAACAGAGATGAGGAGTCAAAATTAAGGGGAAAAGTTTCACAAGAAATCCACTACTTCTTTGGATTCTCCTGGACTGGTCACACGACTCTAAGGTTCATTTCATTTGAAGTATAAGAAAATTTAGAAACCTCAAGAGCCATGACCCTCAAATTTTCTCTGTCCTAAAGTTCTACATGCTCCTCTCTCTGCAGTCGCCATGCCAATGCAGCATCGTCATCCTGGCTTGGTAACTCTCTCCTTGTCCTGAAACTTACTGAACTTTGTCTTCTCAAAGAAAGAAAATTCCTTCTTCGTAGACTTCGAGCGCTATATGCTGTTCCGCTTCTTGAAATATTAGAATAACTAGCAATTGTTACTGAACTTTGATGCTCAGCTTCTCCACCATCTAAAACTCATGCTGCTTTTCTTGCTTCTACTTCTTTAGGAAACAGTAGTTGAATTGTATTCCAAAGGCCTGTGTTTACAGTGCAAGAATTTCCGTTGCTGCAAAATCAAGCGCAGGATGATCAAGCCTCAAATAAAAACCTTTTCTAAAAAACTTAAAATTTTCGATGAGGCAATTCACCCAACTCAACTAGAAGTACAAAGTGTAATCCTTTCCCTTCTTAATAATACTATCTCTACTCCAGCTTTGGTAAAATTTTTAGAAATCCTAAAGATACCTGATAAGCTGCCTGCACTTGGGGCATCGTGTCCCGCATATATCAGCAGCAGATCTCAGACACTTCTCACAGAAACTATAGACATGATTGAACCAAATAAGTAAAATAACCAATTATTGAGAAGCTCTAAATGGTATTTGCTTTATGAATTTGAGTTAATGAGGATGTCCATTTAGATTGTACCTGTGTCCACAAGAAGTGGTACTGGGTTCATAACAAATCTCCAAACAAATCTGCAAATACAAATGAACAACTCTAATATGAAATTGGAACCAGCATAAAAAAAGATCCCTTTACTGAGAGAGAAAAAGGTGATTTAAGTTCCAAGAATGAGCTGAGACTCTTACAGCACAAGAAAGCTCTTCACGAAGTCGATCCATGCACAGACTGGCTGAACTAGAAGATGAAACAAAAGAGCCCTGTTCTTCTGACACTTCAACTCCTTCCTTATCTCCTTTTCCAGTGGATTTTGGCTTTGTTTCTGCTAGATGGTGAAACAGAAATTATTTAATATAGTAAGATGTTGAGATTAAACTTGTCTTATTGGTACACTTAACATTAGGTGCAGAGGTGTATACCTTCACGTAGAAAATCAAGAGAACCTTTAATGTTAGAGAACCCTAAATAATTTGTCTCAGATTATTGAATATCAGAATGTGAATAGGTCCAAATCAAACAGAAAGGATATTAAAAATTCATATGATGGACTCAACTAATTTGGGATTGAAGAGTAGTTGTTGTAGTATTTACTACTAGTAACTGTTACGCATTGGAGTTGCTAACTTTATTATTTGCATAGTCCCGGGCAAAGCGACAAGACACAAGCTTTACCAAACAAACAAGAGGTAGAGTTAAAAAGGACTTTCTGAGCTAAGACTGGATTTTTATGAGGACAAATTTAAAATTTGTAGTATTTTTAACTTGACAAGTATGAATAGCTCTTTGAGGACTTGTATTAAACACACAACTTAAATCTAGGATTTACATTTTCTTTGGTGCAAAGCAACCAGATACAAGCTTTACCGAACAGACACGAGACAAAAATAAAAAAAGTGTTATGAATAGAATTGTACTTAGAGCGAATGTTTATCTTTTAAAGAGTTTGTTACTTTGTGGCTAAGTCATTTTCCCCCTATAAATAGAGGGACTTTACCCCATTGTAAATCATCTGAAATTCAATAAGAATTACCTCTCTTTTTCTTATTGTTTTATTTCACGTTATCAGCACGAGACTCTACCGTCTCAAAAAGCTCTTTGAGAGGATTAAGGTATAACTTTTCTCCTCTTTTAATTATGACTGATATTATGAAAAGAAAGTTCGGTACCCTTGAAATTTCGGGCAAGAACTATATCCCATATGGTGTTGGATGCTGAAATCCATTTAGATGCAATGAGTCTTGGAGACGCCATTAAAGATAAAAATAAAGCATCTATCCAAGACTGTGCTAAGGCCTTGATTTTTTTGCGCCATCACCTTGATGAAGGGTAGAAAATAGAATATCTCACAGTCAAAGATCCACTTGTTTTGTGGAATGGCTTAAAGGAAAGATATGACAACTTAAAGTTGGTCACTCTGCCACAAGCACGATATGATTGGGCTCATCTGAGGCTCTAAGACTTTAAGTCTGTTTCTGAATATAATTCTGCGATGTTCATAATTACTTCTAAATTGAAACTCTATGGAGATAGTATCACTGACTATGATATGCTTGAAAAAACGTTCACAACGTTTCAAACAATGTTTCAGTTTCTGTGGAGATAGTATCACTGACTATGATATGCTTGAAAAAACGTTCACAACGTTTCAAACAATGTTTCAGTTTCTGTGGAGATAGTATCACTGACTATGATATGCTTGAAAAAACGTTCACAACGTTTCAAACAATGTTTCAGTTTGCCTTCTTCGTCATGCGAGTTGACTATTAGTTTACAAGATCTTGCATATTCACCCAATGTTTCTTATTGAGACCTTGATAACTAAAACAATTTCATATTAATTTGAAATGTTGTATATTTGGTATGCTTTCGTTCTTTTACCATGAAGGTGCTTAGTTGCATTACTTGCATTGGTATCCTCGATTTCTGATCTCGTTAACAATACATGTATATGAGGTTAACATAAATTCTTTTCCTTCGGAGATTTGCATATCTTAGACCCAAATGGCTTTTGAATTTAATGTTGCTATAGAAAATGTTAAGAGCTACTAGGAATCAATTTTACGGCAGACAACAGAATTGGACTAGTAATTAAGCACTAACCAATTGGTTACCAATTTTACATCTTCCATCTTCGTGGTATATGTTCTATGGATGTATTTAGAGTTAACGACCTCAAAAAGAAAAAGGTAATTGTTTGTATCATAATCAGAGTTTGCTCGAAATTGCATTAAAAGGTCATTATTGAATCATTGATTTAACTTTGTTTCTTTTCCCTTTTCTCTGAAAATACTAATGTTTATTCGTTCGTATATTTCTTTTGTATGTCAAAATTATGAGAAGCAAATATGGATATCTCACAAAGCAAACTTGGATCAAAGTTCAATTACAGAAATATTTTGTTTAATTGATTCATGTACGACACAAAGAGAAGAAATATTTCTCTCATTTAAGTATGTGTAAGGCAGATGTTACTACAATTTCTGGTAGTAGTAATCTAATTGAAGGCTCTGGAAGAGCTACTATAACTCTGCCTAGGGGAACAATGTTTATCATGGATAATGCAATGTTCTCCTCCAAGTCCAATAGGAACTTGTTGAGTTTTAAAGATATACGCCGAAATGGATATCATATTGAGACAATAGATGAGAATAATCTTGAATATCTCATCGTTACCAAGAATGTCTCTGGCCAGAAAAGGGTTATTGAGAAGTTCCTATCTTTATCTTGTGGCCTGAATTGGACAAAAATTAGTGCAATTGAGGCACATTCTACCGTAAACCAAAAGGTTACTGATTCCAATACTTTTGTACTTTGGCATGATCGATTGGGGCATACTGGATCAATTATGATGAGACGAATTGTAGAAAACTCAAATGGGCATCCATTAAAGAATTTAAAGATTCTTTTAATGAATTTTCTTACACTTCTTGTTATCAAGGCAAGTTAATTATTAGACTATCACCAACAAAGGTTGGAATTGAGTCCCCCGCATTTTTGGAATTGTACTTGGAGTGAAAGTCTATCTTTTAGAGAGTTTGTTACTTTGTGGCTAAGTAATTTTTCCCCCTATAAATAGAGGGACTTTACCCCACTGTAAATCATCTAAAATTCAATAAGAATTACCTCTCTTTTCCTTGCAATATTATTCTTTTCCTTATTGTTTTATTTCAAAAAGACCTTTTTTGAGCCAAGGTTGGATTTTTATTAGCACGATATTAAACTGTGTGTTTTTATTACCTTGACTAGTATGAGTAGCTCTTTGAGGACTTCTACCCCACACAAAAATTAAATCTAGGGTTTACTTTTTCTGGGGGCAAAGCAACAAGATACAAGCTTTACCAAACAGACAAGAGATAGAGATAAGAAATGTCCTTATATTTTTTAGCCAAGATTGAAATTTTATGAGAACAAATTCAAACTTTGTGGTATTTTTTACCTTTAGAAGTATCAGAAGCTCTTTCAGGACTTTCATCAAACACTTGAACCACATTATTGTTTTCTTCTGCGTTTTCCTCGGCACGTCCAACTTTAAGTTCCGGAAAATCCTCGTCCCAATTAAAAACAGCTCCAAGTTCAGGAAAATCGATGTCCCAATTGAAACAAACTCCTCCACGTTTGTACCAGTTGTAGTAATACACCGGTGAGAAAGTAAATTGAACAGGATTTTCAAAGTAGTTTTCTTCGGTAGGTTTTGACAGGTCGTATGGTGGATGCACACTCGCTGATAATATAGACCCATCTTCGAATTCAATTAAATAGCGACCGATTTTGGTAAAATCATAATGATAAGCATATGGAGCCTGATAAGAACTGTCACTGAACTCGACGAAACTGAGAATATCATTAACATAGTGATAAGCATATGGATATGGCGGCTCACTACTGCTGCTAGATTCGAGCAAGTCGGCCATGGCAGCGGAATGGAAGCAGAAAGAGAAATAGAAAAGGGGAATAGCAGAGAGTATAGAACAGTAAAGGGGAATAGCAGAGAGTAGAGAAAAGGAAAATAAGGAGGATAGAAGAAATGGTCTTATGTACGGGGGCTGGACTGTTGTAGTCTTGATACGAAGGAGACTGGTCCGCCTTTTCAGGAATGTAAGAGCCTACATAATAAATTTTTCACTTTTTTCCAAAAGAATTTAGTTTTTTTATTTAAATTAGCGTTTGTTCATAAAATTAAAATTTTAAATTTTCGCTTGAAAAATTTGTAGATAATAAATTGCGTCGAGAAAATAAAATCAAGATCGAAAAATATTACAACAATCGTAGTATTTGATTTCAAGTAATTTGAGTGTACAATCTCTATGAATCTTCTGATTCTTCTTTTCAACAGTAAATAAAAGAGATTTCGAGCTTAATCTTGAATTTTATTTTATTTTAATCCAAGTGCTTGAAACTTGATCTTGATCTTGACGTATTTTTAATCCAAAGGCTTGCAGCTTGTTCTTGAATTTTCGTCATGATCTTTTAATCCTTAGAACACTTGAATGCTTGTAGTTTTTAAAGTTTGATCAACGAGCTCCCTCTTGCTTCTTGTTATAACTTCTAGTCCCTTTTCTAAGTTATGAAGACCCCTATTTATAGTTGTGAAAGGAGAAGTAGTGATAAGAAAAAACTCTTTCCGACCAATCAAAATTAAAGTGTGGCATGACCGCATTTGATAGGTTAGAACATGTCACTTGCACACGTGGCGCGGTTTCATTGGCCTTCTAATGTGACTTGACATGCCTTTTCATTTTGACATGTGGCATGATCCTATTGGCTCTTCCGTTTGACTTTGGCGCGCCACGTCATTTGACACGTGGCACCAAAGTGGGCCTCTAGGTAGATAACATATTGGCCTAATGAAGTGGGCTCATCACTGTAGCCCATTTAAATGGCTAGCCCAATGGATTAAGACTTATTTATTTAATCCATTTATATTGGACTTATACAACTAATTCAATTATATTAGCCCATATATTTATTTGGACCAACATATCTTGAATTTAAAATATAGTCCAAATTATTTCATGGATTTAATTTTAATAAAATTTATATGCCTACAAATATCCCCTACTTCAAAATTTATCGGAGTATGAGGTCATCAAATGTCCGAGACTAGGCTTGAAGTATCTCGGGACAATAGCACACACATAGAACACATATAAATCTTTTATATGGATTTAAAATGTGCTGGAAATGTTTTGAACTTTTTTTTTTCCCAAGAAAACGTGCACTTCTGCTTGGTAAGAAAATTACTCTTTCCATTAATAAATATTGAGCTTGCACTTAAATGTTGCATTTCGCTATTGCATGTAGCACTTTCGCACATAATAAAGTTAGTTGGAAATTACTTAATCCCCAACATTAACATGGTTAAAGGTTGACATAGAAAACCAAGAATATATGCCATGTTGTATGATATGCCAATCCCTTTAGGAGATGATCATGCTACCAAGTCTTGTTGATAACAAATCCAAAATAAAGTCGGCACATGCAATTGTCTTGCTTTTAACTTTGTCATAGTCACATATTCACTTTTACTACATTTAATTGACGAAGAGGCTCCTATATAGCTACCACGTAGGATTTGTCCTTTCTTTATACTTGATATTTACCTTTAACTTAGGCAAAATCTTTGCCTTTGGACAGAAGCTCCACACGCACACTAAACCAAATCCCACTAGAAAACCAATTGTGCATCCAAAAGGCGGCAGAAGTCTTCCCACATCGAAATCGATTTCCGTCCAGCTGCTTTGAGAAATCTATATAAGGATGCGTGCTCTCCACTGAGTCTATTTTTGTGATCTTGGAAGTATTAATGTGAAGGTCATTTCTTCTTCTTTTCTTGAACTTTCTTCATTGTTTTACTCAGTTGTCTTTTTCTTTTAGAAGTAACTTCCTAAAATTACGAAGTACTTTATAAGTTCGAAATGTAGACTTTTAAAAATTCACGATAAAGACCTTTAAAATTTGTGGCGAAAATTCATAAAAGTTAGCGATGAAGACTTTTAAAATTCGTGGCGAAGATCCATAAAAGTTCACGTAAAGATCCTTAAAAACTCGTGGTCAAGACCTCTAAAAGCTCACGGTGAAAACCTTTAAAAGTTCGCGGTGAAGACCTTTAAAATTCGTGGCGAAGATCCATAAAAGTTTACGTAAAGATCCTTCAAAGCTCGTGGTCAAGATCTTTTAAAAGTTTGCGGTGAAAGCCTTTAAAAATTCGCGGTAGAAATCTTTAAAAGTCGGCAGTGAGGACCCTTTAAAAGTTCGCTATAAACATATGTAAAGGTTCAAGACGAGCACCTTTAAAAGTACGAAACATACGTCTTTTAAAAATTCGGAACGAAAATCTTAAAAATCTGAATGCCTTTAAAAGTTCGAGACGAACACCTTTAAAAGTTCGCAACGAAAACCTTTAAAAAAAGTCCGACACAGACATCCCCTTTTTTTTTTTGCAATGAGCGAATATGAAGTCCAACAAACTTGAAGGTTATGCGAACATGAAGACATAGCGAATCCCCAGATTTTGATGCAAATATTGTCATCATTTCAGTGAAGACACTATTTTACCATAGCAGCTTGCCCCCTTTAAATCAAATGGGACCCAAAGTTTAATAGAAAAATGGTATCTCAACTCGATTTTCAAGTGGTGGTTGAATGGATTACATTTCATCTTACTTCATTCGAACAATGATTGGGGCACTATGTATCTTTTGAACTCATGCGACTGAACTCAGAATGAAACTCTAAGCT